TGTGCCACTGGGGGGGCCCCTGGTTTAAATGTGAGACTTGTGTCTTAAAAATGAAACGTAAGAAAAAATTGACTAACTGGCCAATAAATATTATTTATAAAAGCCAATCATTAACTAATAGTTTTAAATCTGTTTTGATAACAGTGCAAGAGGCCTTCTTTTAAAATAGGCTTCAAGTGGCTTATCGGAAAATTTCAATACTCGTGATAAGCACAGAAAAAAAAACCCTTTGTGTAGCTTTGTGCTTAACATCAACAAACAATATTGTAAAATATTATGAAGTAATAAGTGTTTCATAACGTTGCCTGACATGTTTCATAATGTTGCCTGACACAGTTATATTACAATGAGTTATACAAATATTATTAGAAATGCATGTAAATCCCCTAAACACTTGAAAAACAGTTTGAAAATATTCCGTTTAATTTATATATTAATATATCAAAGTACTCCATTATCGGGTTGTTATTGTTATTTTTCTGCGTAGTGGGAAAAGTATGCAACCTGTGTTATCTTATCTTCCACCTGTTTATCAATAGAACTTTGTACAGTTTGCTGTTGGTTTCCGTTGAGATTTAACTTTTACTCGTGGCTCTCCAACTGCAGCTCTTGGTTGTATATTGCTAACGTTATATCGGTCAGTACTGTAAATGTGTTAGAAGAAAAAGGTGGTCAATAATTGTTATTCACGTGCATAGAAGAAAAAATGTTATGTGAGTTACTAAGTGTGACGTCGAGATAATGTGTGAAGATTTCGTCGTAATAACGGAGAGATTCTGCATACAGTGATGTAGCAAGTGGTACAGCATTTCTATTAAACGAGGAACGTTAGGGTTTCATACAGTCTATCTGAACTGTGATCTAGTTTTGATTGGTTTAATGTTTTACAAGTTCTCGTGTGTCACATGGCTTTTGTGTTAGAAGAGCTAACATTTCGAATTACGTGGCAGACTGGTTTTTTTTAAATCACAATTAAACCTGAAAATACCGAGTCAGCAGATTTACCTTTCTCTGCAATAAGCTGGAATCTTTTTCCCCTGAATTAACCTAACTTCGTATATAACCATCATAATAAGAGTGGTATTGCAAGAGGACTCACTAAAGTAAGTCAAATTATTCAAGTTCAAATTTTGTGTTTTTACCATGTCAGATCTTCTCCGGTGACTGTAGAGAACTACGGAGATTTTATTGCCATGGTTACCAGGTCGCTGTGTCTAATTAATTGTTTTATTTCAACTATATAACTTATAATACTTGTTAGGATTTTAAGTTTTGAAAGCTTTTTGTATTTTACAGCATAAATAATAAAAACTTAGATCGAATGATTTATTGGCCAGTAACCAGCCTTTATGTAATATTATTTTATGACACTTTGACGTCATTAGGGAGAGCCTTTAAGTAGTCTTATTTGATGACATTTGTTAGATATACAAGACTGTTTAGTGTAAGCATTATTATTTAGTTTATTTTGTGACTTAATATTTAATGACTGTTTAGTTTTAGTGATAGGAGTGTTGAAGGTTGATTGTTTTAAAAGCGTTAGTTGTGACACATTTCGTTATGTAACTCGTACGAGTCGTACGTTGTCTATGAAACTGATTGTTGTACTAAGTTTTAGTAATATTGTTGGCGTCATCTTACTCGAACCTTTGGTATTTTTCTCGCCAAGTGAGTATTGTTACATCATAGCGTCTCTTAAGTTGTAGAAAATTCAGGGCCTCAGTTGGGCAAGACCTATATATAGGTGACTGAGCGAGAGTGAAGTCAACTATAGGTTCAGTCAGAAAAAAGTTAGAAAACGTGAAGTTAGCTGGAGTGTGAGTGATTAGCCATAACGGGCAATATTCTAAAGTGAGTTTCACAGTTTAATAGAGACAAAGAGAATAATTTGTCTTGTCAAAGGGTGTTCTAAAGTAATTGAACCCATCTGCGTGGACTTTAACGAAAAGTAGACAATTACTTAAAGTTCAAGATACAACTGTGGTAACCCTTTAAGGGCTAATGGAAGTGAATTATTCACTTATAACATTGTGATAAGAGAAGTGAAAAATAATTTGTATTGTCAATTGGATTCTAACGTAATTGAATCAGCCTATGTGGATTCTGACAGGAAAATAGATCTATTTATAGTTTTAGATAAAACTGTGATTTCCTATAGTGTAAAGAATTTTCTTTTATACATACGTTTGACTTGTTTTGAATATATATTATTTTAAAACAAGTGGATTGTGTGCTCCGTTTATTGTCCAAATTTATCGCCAACAAGTCACAGACACCTGCTGTAGAAGAATCCAATCCCAACCTACATACTTAAAATCCCTGACATGTAATCTTATTTGATGACATTTGGAGTGACGTCATTAGGGTGTGCCTTTATGTACATTTGTGTGAGTTCTTTAGATAGTTGTATGCTGTATTTTTTGTGGCTTTTGATCAACAACTGTGTGCTTACTGTGGGGTACTCGTTTATGCAAGTACAATAGCCGTGCATTTTTATGACTGTTCTATGTATCTGTTACGTGATGTCTACTGAAGATATCTACCTTTGTATGACTGATTATGTTTACCTATCTCTACCAGAGTTAATGTATGTTTAAAATATTTTTTCGTTCCTTTATAGTATTATTTTCACTCCTGTTGTGTGGTTCATAATAAACGCATGTATTTACAAGATGAGTCCTGTTGAAAGCATTTTTATGTAACTCCTGTTTCTTGTTGATTGTTTTTCTTTGTAATACCTGTCTGATGGTTTTTGTTTAACTCCTGTTTCTTGTTGATTGTTTTTCTTTGTAATACCTGTCTGATGGTTTATATGTAACTCCTGTTTCTTGTTGATTGTTTTTCTTTGTAATACCTGTCTGATGGTTTTTATGTAACTCCTGTTTCTTGTTGACTGTTTTTCTTTGTAATCCCTGTCTGATAGTTTTTGTTTAACTCCTGTTTCTTGTTGATTATTTTTCTTTGTAATCCCTGTCTGATGGTTTATATGTAACTCCTGTTTCTTGTTGATTGTTTTTCTTTGTAATACCTGTCTGATGGTTTATATGTAACTCCTGTTTCTTGTTGATTGTTTTTCTTTGTAATACCTGTCTGATGGTTTTTTATCTAGCTTTTTTTATTAAAATGTTATTGTTTGTCTGCTGTATCTGTGATAACAATGCATAATAATGACGATATTGTATTACACGTCCCTTGGCAACTCAGACAAGGTGCCTATATTATATAACACATCCCTTGGCAACGCATGTAAGGTGCCTAAGTTTTACTTCACGTCCCTTTCCAACCTATATAAGGTTTCTTTATTACTTTATCTACAAAAAAGTAGTAGTATTTTAAAATAAGTTTGTTTTTCATGTTCAACTTGTTTTATTAAGCTTGAATTTTATTACGCTACAGGTCTCATCAACAGACACCATTTTATTGACTGTGGAAGTCTACAACGATATTCTTCGCTTTGGAATTATTTTTACGATGGTAAATAGTTCTCTGAATCAAAGTTTTCAATCGCATTAGGGCGAAATCTTCTATTCGGTGGACAATGCCCAAGAGCTCAGACGACGATCATGGTTGTGATTGTGATGAACATAATTACGAATCATTCATTGTGCTTAAAATTTGAACAGATGAAAGTGATGAAACTTGTTATCATATACTGTGTTTTAGCTCGTGTATAAAATATTAATAACACCAGTTTATCGGGAAAATATCGTTCTTATTTCTCTGAAATAACCGTAACAGCAATTTATCAAACTAGAAGCCAACACGAAGCTATTTCTATCCAAACATGATAAAGTCGGTACAGAAAATTATCTGTTTGTGTTTGATTATCGAACTGGTGCTTCTACATTTCACCACGACAGGCTCAAGAGAAGATACAGTACCGAACAGAGAAATAAGTAAAGTTTCTTATGTTTAATTCAAAAAACAGTGATGTTATTTTTTATTGGAAGAAAGATGACATAGATATATATATATGTAAACGTTTAAACTTTAATCAGTGTAGGAGTAACGATTTAGAAATTACTAGCATGTTTTTTTAATAACAGTTTCCAGAAACTAATATGTAGAAATGTAAGTAAAATATGCTATAATTCGTTACTAGACAAACATTTGCGTTAACTTAGTATCTTTATTGCAACAGTACATCGTTAAGTAAAATATTGTTACGTCTCCGTTTGTTAATTAACTTTCCGTAACTTCGTTCCGACGAAACCTTAGCGACACAAGTTCTTTACTTAATAAAACTGGTTTATTCTTTCCGAATACAACTTTACCGATACACTCAACTTCAACAATCGCGCTAAACAAACGCTGTAACGTCTCTCGTGCTCTCTCACTGCAGTTCAATTACTCACTGTCTATACACACATTACATTACCCCTCGTCACATTGTCACCCTCTTTTATATACCAGCCTACCCTATCTAGTAAATACTAGAGCATTCGCCAAAGTACAGGATAGTTCTAGAAACGTGGCGTCACTGTAGTCATGTGACTCGCTGACGCAACAATATGTTTAGATTAATATATGGGAATTCTAATCGCAGACACCGAAATCTATAAATATACATGTTCTAGGCTTATATTCGATAAAAGAGATAAATTAACACTGTAAGTTGTAACTTCTATACGTTATTTGCTCTAGTTTAATTAGTGTTAAGTACGGTAAAGTTTAGCCCTGGAAATAATGTTATTCTACGACTCAACGTGAAATCTTTTCGAAAACTTGATCCGATTTTAATTTTAATTATTTACATCCCGTTTTGTTCACTTAAACAAATATATGCTGTATAATTCATTTTGAAAGTTTTCTCATCTTGCTAGTTTACTTATTTAGGAGTCAACTTGAAAGAAAACATTATTGTAAAGTGTTCTAAATTACAAACAGCGTCAGAGTTTACATAATCTACTAGTTCTTTACGAGTGTCAATATTAGAAAATCTGTCAACAACGAAAAAAAATTGTATTTAAACTTAGTAAAAAAAAACAACAATAATTTAAACTGACGAAGTTATGATGGAAATTTGTGTAATTTTTCCATTACATATCGTTCACTTATGGTGTAGTCATTTTGTTATTAATGAGGTAAATAATGCCTTTACATTATATTAAAAATAATAAGGTAAGAAAAAACTACAAAAAGCCAGAAATGGGCGAATCATGACTCGCTGTCCGATTTTTTGCAGTTCACATTAAAACTCAATTGATAATAATTATATTACATAAAAACTAGAAACAAAAGTTAACAAAATAATTTAAAAAGCAACAATCATACATTTTTGTATATTTAAAAATTATATTATAATTTTGTAATGTGAAGACAAGTAATAACCAATAATTGTTTTTGATATTCATGGAGAATAACCTATAAATATTGTTACGTCTCCGTTCGTTAGTTAATTTTCCGTAACTTTAGCGACACAAGTCCTTTCTTAAATAAAACTGGTTT